AAAATTTTTGAAATATCGAATATTTTTGGAAATATTGGAAATAAAATTATAGTCAGTTACGTAAATAAAATAAATCGAATGAAGCTTTTAAATATGTAGATACACTGTTACTTAGGTATCAAGTCACGTGACATTACAGTCGAATATTAGAATTATTAAATCAATCAAAATGTCTGCCTTGAACATGTTTCTGGGATCACTGGAAGCATGCAGCTGCATTTGTCAAAATTAATATCCCATTAAGACTGCCATTCATATAGAAACGTAATTATATATACCCATTTATTTTCATCATACCACTTTAATTAATATCATCTACGCGTACTATATTTAGGTATATATTACAGGTCAGTAGTTCTAGTGTTAAGCACATCCTGCAACGTGTTCCATTACGGTACATTCGCGATATTAAACGATACAGGGCTGTACAAAGCAAATATGATAACCGTCTATGAAATATTCAATACACTCTCGCAGATGTCTTTACAAATACACGCCAGACGCATAAATTATACGAAATATGCAAGCCGAACAGTGCACGCTTAAAACTTTGTCTCCCTATGCAGACGCAAAGGAACTTCTATCACGCGCAGTTCCCTAGTTTTTAAAACACCTCCGTTTGTTTGGTTATCCGCATTCCACTAGCTAGTAACAACCAATTAACGTTTGTCGAAGAGAAATTAAACGCGATAGTTCATAAATATAACAAATATTTACAAGCTTAACGTAAAACGGTAAAAACGATAAAAATGGCAAAGATAGTAAAATGCCAGTAATGGCGAATATGACAAAAATGGCAAAAATAGTAAAATGGTAGTAATGGCGAATATGATAAAAATGGTAAAAATTGCAAGAATAGCGAAAATGGCAAAAATGGTAACAATGGGGAAAATGGTAACAATGGCGAAAATGGTAAAAATGGTAAAATTGTAAAAATGGTAAAAATGGTAACATTGGTGAAAACGGTAAAAATGGTAAAATTGTAAAAATGGTAACATTGGTGAAAATAATAAAAATGGTAAAAATGGTAACAATGGTGAAAATAATAAAAATGGTAAAAATGGTAACAATGGTGAAAATGGTAAAAATACTTCACATACACTATTCTGGATAAAACAACGGAATGTGGATGTGTAATGTTTCCTTTTCGGTCACGAGTGGTTAATTCCTTGCTGTAAGGAGAGATTAATTCGATTCGCGAAGGAAATTCTTCGACTTCCTTGGCTCGGGTAGAAAGAATGAAACACGGGTTATAGTACGATAGAATGTAGAGCAGAGTAGATGGAATCGGCGCGAGCGCGACAGTGACGCGATAAAATGTGGAAAAGTATCGTTCGGAACAACGCGGATATGACGCGATACGCTTTCGTTACGTCATTTCTCGCGTAGCCAGCGTTACAAATGATTGCATTAGTTCATGAGTCACTCTCGCCTCGCCAAGCGAGCGTAATAGTAATTTTGCACGAAACCGTGCTATGGACACTGGCAAAATACGTTCTACCTGGAGGTACGGTATCTGCCAGGATCTATATGGATTTCTGCAGATGTATCGTTTACCTTCGAAACGCTAATATTACCGTTTCTATCGTGCATCGCACTTTCAACGATCATCGCATTCGATTAAATATTTATAATTAGAAAAAGTTCGGGCAAGATCGTAATTAAAAATAATCACCGCATTTAAAAGAAAGTTAAAAATTTGCATAACCTTTCATAGCAATTGTTAATTATCGAAAGATAACGATACGCTATAAATTAAACAATAATAACAGTTGTTAATTATTTCAAAATTTATTTCTTTTTATTTATTTATTTATTTATTTATTTGGGGAAATTTAAGAAAATTCCCTAGCTCTGAGAAATTTTCCAATTTGCAAAAGCGAGAAGGAAGGAGGGAAAAGGAGAAATGTGGAAACTCGGAAAGTTCAAATAATGGCGCGAAAAATAAAATCGGTCGCGGAAGTACGAGATTCCATGATATACCGTAGGATTTATTTATAGTGGCTAAGGTCGATATTTATCTAAATCAGCATGCATTCAAATGATAGGCAGTGAAATCATCTCCGCTAGCTAGCTCTATTCCTCGATGACGTACGCCATCGTGAAACTCGACGACGGCTAAACATTTTTATTGTCCTTGCAAAAGTTGCTCATCGACCTGCTGACTTGCTCGAAACGTGGAATACAATGAAGCGTATGCTAAAAAAGCTACGCGAAAATAAACAAAATGATTCCACCAAAATATTCTACCACTGTACCAATTTTCTTTTATTCGAATTTCTTACATAACCTCTCTTTATTTCGACCTAATACCTTTTCCCTAAAAAAACTACGGTAATTTTAACAATTTAAATTAAAATAATTAATAGCGATCGATAACAATATTAATACCAATTTCAAATAACAACGTCCTACTTGGAAAATTTTAATAACCTAAAAGAATTTCTTACATGATACCGATTAATAATTATGTAAAATTCAAGTCGCGACAGGGCTGAAATGAAACACGAAAATGGCACCAAACTGACACTGGTAAATAATTTATAAAATTAAATTACTATGAATTTGCTATAAATTACAATTAAAGATAGATTAAATTAAAGATATTAACCTAATTTCCTTATTTCCTCTTCGGCGTCGACATAAACGTAACACTAAAAATGCCCAGCAGTGCCATCTGTCCACGTCGAGTTTCCTTATTTACCATACGTCACACTTGCACCGTTCAACTTCTTCGCAACGCGCGATATTTTCTCCGCGAACCGTGGAAAATACCTCGGGAGACGGAACCGTGGTGTATTCTATCGTGTTCCTTTTGGATCCAACGAATTTTTTCCCCCCGCATGTCCGGTTCCTTCTCGTTATCTCGTATCTCGGTTATTGCGTCACGCCTGAAAATATGCGCGAAATTTCCAGGACTTTGTAAGTTAGTTCGCTCGCCGATTGGAATTCGCTTTTTATCGGCGAGCAGAGAGAGAAAGAGGCGGGGAAGGGGCGGTTGCCAATATCGTTCGGGGAACCATCTTTATTCATGTTATAATTTAAATCGAACCGAACGTGATGAAATATATATACACGTGTGTATATGTCCTTTTCCATTTATCTCCTCGAATGGAGATAATAAAAAAAAAAAAATTCGTCGAATCTGTATATACATTTTTCAACATGCGATTGATTTATGGTATTAAAAAAGTTGACAAAAAATTCTGCGCTCCCAGTACACTGGCATTTTTTATATTGCAAATAAAAATCCACTGCGAAAATATTCGATTCTCTATTTAATCGCGTTCCCAGAGTTTACTTTTTACATTTTCGTCATTGAACAACGTTAAAAATGGCCCAGCGAAATTAAATAACTTATACCGTTTGTTATACACCGATAAAAAATATATTAAACACTGATTCATATTTCCAAAGAGCAATCACTTATACGGCATTTCGCGGGACGTTTAAAAATATTAAAGAACGCCATCTTTGAATTTTTATAAATCTAATATGGCGGAAGATTAAATGAATAATAGGGTTAGGATGGGTGTTATTTAAGAATAAGCGCTTCTAATTTCCGAGACCCGTTTTTTCGCCTACCAGCTAGACACGCAATCCCGCGAATAAATAAATTAACGTATCGAATTTCAAAAAGGCGACTAAAAATAACTCGTGTTAAATTAGCCACGCGGCGGCTTTCAAACTCGTTATCTACTTCACTTCTGATAACTTGCCACCTTCACCATTCTCGTTTCCAGCACTACTTTCTGCAAGTTTCATTATTTTTCCACGTTACTTCGTTAATTCGCTAGATAAATATTAAATCGCGAATTTTTAATGGCAAAACACTATTAACGAAGAAACTAACGCTTAATAATCATGCATTAAACATGAACAGCTAGCAGCGAGTTCATTTATTAAAATAATTTCAATCGTACCATAAAATGCTGTTATAATCAGTTTCCACGAAAAGGATTGCTCGCCACTGCCATAGAAACAGAATTTACGGGTCACGTGACAGCAAACTGCATTCTTCGTCGCACTGATTCAACAACACCGATAATTAGTCGCACATTCAAACCTGTCGTCGATCTGTGTCAACAATAAATCCGAAAGGCAGCTTATCTGCGTCAGATTCGACAAAGAACGTCGGACAAAGAACGTTGTCACCAAACATAACCACAAACGACAAAGATCGTACACGCTGCTTCGTATATACTTCCATAATTCTATCGCGGCACACGCAACACGTTGCTTTCACGCGAAGAAAATTCATTAAGATTGACACAGAGATAACCGTATTATCAAAGTCGATAAACTCGATTCGAGAATCCGAAACGTGGATAAGAAGTCAAGCGGCGAAAATATATCGCAACTTCTAAACTCGAGAAACAAATATTCGAAGCACAAAGCAGCGTCGTTGCACGTTGCCGGGTTTCTTTCTTCTCGAGTCACTTCCTGCGCCGCCAGTGACTCACGTGAATCACCGAACAGTCAAGAAGAACGAACAAGACGAACAGGCGAAAGTATCCGAGAGAGAGCCTCTGCATCGTTCGTCCTTGCCGGTATGTTCGAAGCTTCTACTTTTCGCGCGAATCCAAATGACTACGTATATCGCGGATTCGATAAGTCGAAACGTTACCACCCGATAGGACAGATAGGCGAACCTAACCTGCAAGAAAACCTGGTTCCTTTCCAGCCACCGAAACGACACCATTTGACACGAGAAACCGGCATGTACGGACACGATCACCACGCGAATCAGGCACGTAATAATCGGTCGACGTGAAAACTATCAACGAGAAAATGGACGAAATGGATAGACAGATGCTTCTAATCTCGAAAATCTACGAAGAATCGGGCACCGCCTGAGAAAACGCGCGGGCGGCCACCGTGCATGATTTCCGGCGGCGTTTGCCTGGCGTGCCACGCCACGACGACCTCACGGGGGGGTTGGACGCTGTTCTTTTTTTAGAAACTATATATCCCTATAAAGACATTGGTTTTCCCCTTACCTTGTGCCTTCAAAATATTCGTTGAATCTGCTCAGCGTACTCGACGTATGTACACCCGTGTACCCCTCGAATCTAATGGCCCTCTGTCGCACTCTATTCGTCCCTCTCTTTCTTCCTCGCGCACTCCTTCGTACACTGTCTCCGTCTCCCTCTCTCGCCCGTTCTCCGTCCTTGTTCACGGCCCACTATATCCCAATCTACAGAGATTCTCCGGCGATTACTCGCTTCCTACTCCTGTGCTGCTCGGTTCGTCGTCCCGTCGGCGTAGCGAACACATCGAAAGCAACCGGGGAGAATCCGTGGACTGGTGCCGAGTAATATGGAGACACGAAACAAAGTTAAAAACGAAACGAACGTGTCACTGGCTGAGAAATTCCGCACTGGTCGAAAGTCTCGCGCGGCGCGGGTGCACCAAAGCTCCTCGGGGCACGGTCCTCTCGTTCGGTCGCCTCGAAGAGCCGATACTCACTGGCTCGAGGCGGCTGTTCACACACCACGAAAAAACAACCTCAGTTCAGACGACGGTTTTACTCCTCGTGAACGATCTCGATACGTTCCTCTCGGTTTTCAAGCACTTTCGCGAAAAGCAGCACGACACCAGCCCACGATTCTACCGTTATCTAGGGCGATGCCTCTCTGCTGCTCGCCGCTTTGCCCTCTGCCCGTGACTATGTAACTACGGGTTGCACAGATGGCGTGCTCGATGCAAGAAATGCGACACGCGCCTGCCTTATCCACGAATCACGAGTCGCCATTGATCGGTAACGATATAAAATATGAATTTCGAATTAAAAAAATCGTAGCGGTTTTCTTTGGTTTGTAACCACCTGCTAGTTGCATTTCTTGTCTAGGAAAATACCCGTGATCATATTCAAATTCCTTATAACAGACTTTTTTGCTTTTTTGTATTTTAATTCGTTTGTGATTCGTTTTTTATGACATTGTTGACTTTCTAATATTGTACGAAGTAAACAATTGGTGTTCTTGATCATTAAATAGTTTTAATAGTAAAGCGTTTTGTTTTAATTGTTTCACAAGCAACAAACAACGGGACATTGCAACATTGGTAAGTTATATTCGCTTATTTTAAATTTCATTATCGTTATGTTGCGTGTAAAGTTTTGAAAAAATTAAATAACTCGTTACATATAAACTAAAATAGAATTTATTCGTATTATGCGTTTATTTTACACGTATTAAATATTTCATCTTTAATATCGTAATTATATGTTAATATAACAAACTCACTTGCATTTAAATTGTGTACATGTATATGTATTTTTGATTCCAAAATAAAATATTTAAATAAATTATCCGCTTAGAAATTGAGAATAAATAATATTAAAAATTGAGATTATTACCTAAAAGTATTTTCAACTTACTAAAAAGTTGTTTCATGATGATTGTGCACGCTATAAATGACATTCTTCACGGTACCGCGTGATGTAATTTTGGCAATGTACTTTAATCTTTATGAAACATGTATATAGTACTTTATTATTTTCTTAATATTCAACAGATAACGCATACGTATTTCTATTGTAATTGTAATGTTAAATCCCGGAAAAGAGGTGCTGAGATTGATTTAAATAATTGAGGTTATGTTTCGCGTTGTTTCGGAGAATAATTTATCTTAATTACATTTATTAATTCTGTGTTATTTTTAATATTGATGGTCAAAGTCTTCGTGCATAGTTTACCAAACCAGTACTATTTTCTAATCTTTCGCAAACAAGTTTAAAAAGATTATTTATCACAGATGGAAATAAAGAAAAAATATCGGAAATTAAAAACTGCAAATCAAGCTGAAATTCTACGATCACATCAGAGAGACGATGATTTTGTCAAACATTTACGAGAAAAAGTTATCGATGTTCTACAAATTATTGAAAAACGAATGGGTTTGCTACCCCTTATACACTCTGACATTCCATTTAAATTAATTTATTATTTCTTTACGACGGGAATGGGAAATCAAACATTAGGGGAAGAATACACTGGGATAGTGCAAGCCAATTTAGCAGCTCAGAAAGTTCCATCCTTATATGTATGTAATTGATGTAGCTACTGAAAACTATTCTTAATTAACATGCAATATTTATTTATTATTCAGGCAAGGGTATTGGCAGTAATTTTGGAATGTCTTGGGGAAAAAGCATTGATTAGAGTACTGAAAAGATTAGAATTATCGATTAATCATCCTCATAGTAAATTAACTCCTACAGCTGTAATATTTTTAAATTCTTTTATACAACGAATGTGTACTATGATACCTACTTTCATATTAGTACACAAAGGACTATTTTATATGTTTGGTCGATATTATAGTTTGGGTAAAAGAATATCAGGAATAGATTACGCAAAGGTAAATTTTGCAAAATCTTATAGCAATATTAATTGATATATTTTCTATTACTTTTTTTAAATTTGAAGGTTTATGGTCATCGGCCTACCGATACTATTAGTTGGGGATTAAGACTATTAGGAATTGCTACATTTGCACAATGTTTGTTAAAAATCTGGCAAAGTAGGAACAATGAAAGTCGTTTTGAGAAATACTTAACAGTTGACGAGAAACATAATAAGCTGATGTGCCAGTTGTGCCTTGAAAAAGTGCCAACAACTACCACACCCTGTGGTCATTTGTTCTGTTGGTTTTGCCTTACTGATTGGTTGAATACTAAACCACAATGTCCACTGTGTAGAGAACATGTTGTACCTTCTAGAATTGTGTATGTAATGAATTTGTAACTATTTCAAAATATTTAGAAAAAAAAAAAATTCACAAAAACAACATGCAAATGTTTTTTTTTCTCAAAATAATTCTTAAGTTAAGGATAAATGATTCACTAAAACTATTTTATGCATTTTAACATTCTTATAATTTTTTTTAACATTAATTACTATGCATCTGTGCTAATAATGATTTTATACAGATGATAGTCATAAATACACATACATGTACCGCGAGTAAATTTAAAGCAAAACTAGTAGACACACGCACGCATTTACATATATATATACATATAAATATTATATATATATATATACAAAAATATCAAGTTTTTATTTATGCCACGCGTATACACGCCATTTTTTGTATAACAACGCATTATTCACATAAACGATAATGTACAATTGTTTTATTTTCATTGTATAGCGTTTTTATAAAATTCTAAATTGAATCAAGGAATCAATAACAATAAACTCATAATTGCGGGGATCGGGGAAAGAATTTAATGACGTTATAGTCACAAGGATGTGCGTTGAACGGAAAGAATTCCTACTTTCTCGGCAAAATTACCGAGTAGCTGACCAAAGCCACTCGATTCGGAATTATCTTTCATTCGAAATCCAACAGTATGACTATAGGCGTTATAAAATATTCTTCTTAAACATTGTAACTTTTCTCTCCGGGATCTATAACAGAACGATCAAACGTATACGGAATTTATAATTCTATCTTCATTGATGAAGAAATATGATAGTAAAAACAGTACTTACTGTGCCAACGACGCACATACTTCGTCTTCAATGATCGTAGTGCTCGATTCTTGAGACGCGTGTCCCGTATAAGTTTCGCAAAGAGGCTTGCAAACTAAACTAGATGTCAGTCCGTCTGTAAGCGGGGCATTAGCAGTCGTAGAACCACGTAAACTACCGGTTCCCGATATCATCTGCCAAGATCCGCCAGACGAGGAGGATTCGTTTCGTTGTCGAAGACGTCCAGGTACAGGAACAGCGACCGGAGAAGTTCGATTAGGTGGTAAAGGTGATCGCGACCCATGAGCAATTCCTTCTTTGTTCGGTGAAGGATAGAATGACCATGGTACAACGTTCCTACAAAATAAACAATTAAGAAAAAGGGCATTGAATGGATACAAAAAAATAAATATATGTACCCGTTACTGTGACAGTCATCTTGAGTTTCTGTGGAAGCACAGTGAAACACCGCTGGTGGATTGTTATCTTGACTATCTCTGCTATTTTGACTAACAGAACTACACCAACTATTCAGACTTAAGTTGGAACTAACTGAGCTCAATGTCACTACCGATTCGCTATCGAACATAACGTTATCTAACTGCGAGTCACTGTCGTTGCGTAGAACCGTATGCCTAGGTCTGCTATGACGCGGATGAATACTAAATTCTTCATCATGAATGTGTTTTAGAAAATAAAAGCAAAAGAAAAATATTTCCTCTCCTTTGCTTAATCGATCCTCTAAATCATGACCGAACAGCATCCAGTCATATGCTATAGTATAATAAAGAATTTGATACGCATTTAGAGATGTATGAATTGCACCGTCAGCCCACAAACTGATCCTCAATAATGAAATAAATAAAGGTGTGCGATCCCATCCTATAAACAGCTTTATTAAGTACTTATCCAATTGAGAATTATATAGAATTATAGAAAAAAAAGAAAAACATACCTGAGATACAATGAATTAATATGCCACTGCTACTATCGCTCAAATATCTTAATATGAGTTTTAAATAATTTTGAGTTAATTCAACTAAATCCCAGACTTGATATTGATCCCAATTAATTCGTAACTGAGTAGAAATTGAATCTTCTGGCACACCAATTTGCGCATCTACGTGAGTCTGAGACCAATCAAATACCAAACCTTTAGCCAAGTAGTCATTTTCTCTAAACTCCCTAAAGAATTCACATCCAGGGTATGGCAGTGAAATTAGGGTGAAGTCGGAATACCTCTTCTCTTTGTCTACTTTCTCCGAGGATGTCACGCTGAGTACCGAACAAAAGAGCTCTGTTTAAGGTCCTCTAAAAGTGGATTCATAGAATAAAAAAAACTGATCATGCTATTAACTGTTATGAAACTTCACTGACTCTGTGAAGAACTGAAGGACTGCTTTCCTAGCTCTCCTTGCTTTTTCTTTTGTTTTTTTTTTTAATTTTTTGTGTCTAAGCAATTTTTTTTTATCACAAGAGGACTATAGAAACAATGTCATATTTCAACAATATTTCAAGAATATTTAATATACAAAAAATAATTTACAATAATACATTATTTCAAAATTGATTTAAAAATATTTCAAATAATTAATACTAATTACAATTCCACTGATATTGTAAATAATGTAAAAAAAAGAATGGAAAAGGGCATATCTGAAAGGCAGTATTATTTTTTCAATTAATGCATGCATCAAATATTGCTATCAAAATTGATTTACTTACTTCATTCCAAATTTGACCTTTTTCTTCTCAACCATAAAGTCAATAATAGTTCCTACATTAAGAGTTTTCAAAAGCTTGATGTCTTGATGCCTAACTTTATCGAATAATTGCCAGTCACTAAGTACAGAATCATTCCCCCGAGCTTCATCTACTTGTTGTTGAATAGAAACTATTCCTTCGCTACCAGCAAATAAATAATCTAGCCCAGATCTACCATAAATTTCTGGTCCACCAGACAGAGTTGCTGATCTGCATACATGTCTACCTTTATACAATATTACCGGCAGTGGAAATCTTGAACGACACCTGGCAAATCTAGCACTTTTAATCAATTCCTTCAATTTATTAGCGTCATACATGCTTTCATATATAGTTTCTGTTGTGCGTGGCAGAGGTGGCGGCGTATCACACATATGTGGATTCCTATACTTCTCATATTCTAAAATGATAAGATGGCTAGGATAGTGTGCACTGAGATCACCTCCATTATTGTTTATGATAAAGTGAGTATAATCTAAATCAGTGAGCAGCAGACATCTTTGCATGATTGCTTGACTCTAGAAAAAAAATATTGTTTAAAATTTTAAGGCATGAATCTTAAACAATAAGAATGTGCATATAAAAAAAAAATTACCGTGCTATCTGCATCCTTGGCTCTATAAGTGTTTTTCGAGAAGTATATGAGAAGCTCCTGTAAATCTTGAATGGCGATTTCTGTCATGATTGAAGCAAGTTTTCTGAGAATATGGTACCCAAAATTTTAACTAAAGGACAATTTTTTCTTTCTAAGGTGGTCCTAAGTTTCTATAATTTTCATAAGGATGCTCATGAATCATTAACTGTAGCCAATGTCTTGCATATGAGAGGAATGGCACGAACACTGTATTTAAAATATACCACATCACAATTTAAAGTTTTTTTGCTGCTTGTCATGACTTGTTCTTAAGTTTGAAAAACATTATTTTTAACATAAACATAACGAGATTACAGGTTTATGAGAGCATCATATGTTACAGAATACATAAAAGCTTTAACTCTAGAATACATTGGTGATTTTATTAATAGAAAGTTTATAAAATAAACTCATGCTAACTCAAGAAAACAAAGAGTACTAACAATTAAAATTATAGAAGAAAGCATGAATTATACCTTAACAGTTTTTTAATGTTTGTACAATTTCTTTTAAAATAAACATAAAAGATCAATGTAAAGTACTATCAAACAAACATTGTACAGTTGTACATTATAGTAATAGCACCACTTTTTGGAAGATTAAACCTACATTTCTTTGATTACTTATTTAACAGAAATATATATTTCTCTTTTATTTGTGTTAATGCATTATAATAAATAAAGTGACCTTAAATTTATAAATTATCATTTAACATGCTTTACTTTTCATATACAGATTAGAATAATGATGAAACAATCAGTAATGTCTTGATCATCAGAGTCCAGATATTATATAGTATATTTCATTTATTTTCGTTAGTTCGACAATTTACACTTGTAGTTTCACTTCTTTACTTAATTATGTATTTTTGTTTTTTAATATTTTTCTCTTTGTCTTTTACATCCGACCGTAAAATTGAATTCAAACTGTCTTCTTCATGTTGCAAATTCTTTTTTATTTTACAATGCAGTAGAAACCGAATAGAAGATTATTCCATTTACAAAATTTTTAGGGGGAATTTGAGCAACAATTTCGTCGTAACAATGGTAGAGAACGCTTCGTAGAACGACTTAACCTGAGTTCAAGTCATGCACGCTGCTTTCATCATAACGAACACATTAATTAATGCCTGGAGAAATTCATAAAACGTCCATCGAACGATAATCGAACGTGAAAACGGAAAGTTTGTCACGGAGAATATCCATGGTATCTCATCGTGTTCCAATCTCGATGAGGATCCGACGAGATAACCTAAACATCACACCCGAGAAAATATGTTTCACGTTACACGTAGTAATTCGAACCTCTCCCGAGTACACTGACATTCTCTTTTTCGTTATTCGCAACGTTTTCCGGGCTATACGCCGAAAAATCTGTTATCTTTTTATCACCATTCACGGGTCGCATTTAAAGATAGTTCTTGTTAAAAGGACAAGAGAGTCCCTCTTCTTCGCTGTCGATCTCGTTATCACGACCAGTACGACGACCTTGATTTCTTGTCCTTTCACCCACGCGACAATAAACACGGAAAAATAATCTTATTTTAAACGAAACAACAATATTTTTTCTTCTATGATCCGCAAGCGAAACGGAAACCAGTCGTCTGGCAGGACGAAAGTACGAAGTGAAACGCAGCGTAGTAAGATAACCTATTTTTGCAATGTGGAGAACGCGTGCTTTGCTCTGATGGTATTGCAAATTTTACTTTTAATAAATAGATACAATTTAAAACGAGGTGCTTTTGAGGATGATTATCGAGGATTTTTAAAAGCATTGATTATGGAAATTTTTTAAAATAATGCGTTAGATTTAAAGAATCGTTAACTTGTACGATGAATTCTTTTAATTATATATTCATTTATGCAAATGATTCTAAGAACTCCTCTTCGAGATTTATGTCTATTAGAATTAATACATCATTGAGTTTTATAGCTGCAAATTGAAATTACATTTATTAGTGTTCCCTAAACTTGTATAAATCTGTTTTATACATGTTTATATTTTTATTTATACGACGCATATAAATACAATCTTTTGCGTATGACACGTGAGATAGGTTTTTCAAGTTAATAAAATATTAATTCCGATAAATCGTTACATTAATATTATATTTCGAAAATACAAACAATACGTCTCATGGGACAAAAAAAATTTACATCTACACAAGAAACATAACCGAAAATTTTTTATTTAAACTTGATGTCCTTGATGATATTTAAATTTTCAAACATTAACATTTCTGAAAGAAAAATAACGTTGAGAATTATCGTTAGCCACATTCAAGCAATACTGAATAGCATGCAAATCGCTGTAAGGTAATAAAGGAAATAATGATCGCAAAATTGAAATTAAATCATTCGATTTATTGACAATAGAATCGAAAAGGAAAGCGAATCGTTTGAACGTTTTAGTTCGAGATGGCGCAGTTCATCGCGACGATGACGACGGCGGCGAAACCACTCCAGTTCCAGCGGGGCGCGCATGCGCGACCGGCTGGGTATTTCTGGACAAACGATCCGGCGGAATTGGAACAGGAACGATCGTGAATCAGGACTGACACGAGCCGAGAGGTGGCAATAGACGCAAGATGGCGAGTACGCGATGAAACGGTGCTGCACCGTGAATGATTCTTCGTCGATTTTTCACGGGCAAAGCGTCCGTCGTATGTGATATTCGCGTTGGGTATGGGGCCAGGGGCGTTTCTACGTGTGCCGCGTGCTGATAGTGGACGCGCGTGCCATTTGTGATCTCGTTGATCTCGTCGGGAGGAACGTTCGTGAGGCCAGTACCGAACGAGACAGAACGAAAACGTGTGTGCGCGCCTCAGTGAAAGTAAACAAACGGTATGAGTGCGGTACTAGGAAGTGTCGGTGACCCGGCCGGTCTTCTGGACCCCGACGTCGAAAGCATTCTTGAAGAGAAGAATCAATTGATCAGCCGGCAATATGCGGAGATCGAGAGATTGCAACGTGAACTTTCGGAGGTCATCGGCGAACGTGACGCCCTGCTCTGCGAGGTGTCAAAATTCAAGTTCGAGCGCGAGATGACTGATCTAACACGTCTACTCGATGACAGGTATTTATATATTTTTTTAAATTTATTTTATTGACTGCATCCCCGAATTCTTTGTACGTATGTATACGAAACATTTGCTCGCGATTCAAAGCGTAAACCATTGTTTGAAATCGTGCGAGGAGCGTGGTGTATAGTGCGATTGCAATCGGCACAATGACACCTAGCTTTCGCTGTGAAAAAGATGTTGACACCGGTAGTGTCGACGCGATTACGTTAGTTTTGTGCTATAATTCAGCGGGCAAAGCGTTCGCATGCCTACAAATGTGTACGCATATTATAAGAACGTGGAAACGCAGTGGCGTATAAATAATGGATCACCGGTTTTTTGCTTCCACTATCTTTCGTGCGATACCTATCGGCACTGAATTAACACCTTTCGTGAGTGTTGCTCGCTGATGCAAGGAAAGTAAACTTCGACCAGAATTTCTTTTGTTTCGCTTTGAAATTTGATTATATACGATATTATTAATCGCGAAGCAGTACAAGCAGAGTTGTTTGCAACCGAATGTCGTTAATCGTAACCGCGTACGGCGGTTATCAAATTCAGTGGCGTTGCAGTCGCCAACTATGTTCAAATGGAACTTTCAACGATTAGTCTATCTACCAATACCGTTAATTTGTTATTCGTATATACGCGTGAACCTTAACGATAAATTTAAAAAATTCGAAATGCTCGGTCCGTAACATATAAAATACTGTTTTTCTTAATGGAATCTCTTATGATATTCTTTTTAATTAACCGTGTCTGGCATTCGTATGACGAAATAAACGATGCGGATCGTTTTTGTCGATCGGGGATGAGACGGTACGGCGAATGGAATTTTCCGCCCAAACTTTTAGCCAAGTGGAGAGTTCATAGCCATTAGTGTTTGTTGTTTATCGATTTCGAATAACGTTACAAGTCTCGGGACACATTATGGAGCGCCAAAATTCAATTTAAATATCTTTTTACATATATCGATATCAAGATATCAAAAAATGAAAATATATCAGAAATTTTGTAGGAAGCAGTCGATTTGTTGCTTCACGAGTTTCGCGCGATTTTCATGACATAATACAATTAGTAAAAGTTGCATCGGAATTTCTGCTAGTGAAACGTTATGCACCAATTTCCTCCATTATTGTGGCAGTTATTATATAATATAATTACGCATTTAAGAGGGTCTCTGTTTTGCAGCATATAGACGCATTATGTAAACATTTCTACGATGTAAAATATTCACGGTGCCCCATGCAAGGGTAATAATAATTAGCTTTATATTATTTAAAAATATTATTTCATTATTATTTACATACGGTAAGCTTACAATAGAAATTCTAATTAAACCCGAATCGATATAATATATTTAGTGTTGTTATTTTACAGCATCGCGGAAGTATCGATAGGTCTGGCTGGTATCGATTATTTGGGCGAGGGTGAAAAAATAATAGTGCGTTGGACTTTTTCACGAATAACAGTGACTAATAGACGGACAATTAACCTTGATGCAGTCGGGCCGTTTCTATTGATTATTGCGACACGAGAGAACAGAGGAAACCTCTCATGCTACATTGTTATTCGTCGTAAAATTGGGTCGATCATTAAATCGCTACGCGTTATCTAAAATCGCTACTGGCCGAACAATCGATTCGCCGTAATACGTTCGGAAAAACTAACTGTACACCCGCGATTCTCTATCCTATCGATTTCATATGCGTGCGAAGCTTTTCAGTCGAGATACGATCGTCCTCGGGTTGTAGGAAGCTATCGCGTTTCATGCTTCTTCGAGACGATCCCTTCTCGGTTAGGTCAGCCTTCCTGAAAAATTTTCCGTAACCATACTTGTATCTTTGTCTAGCGTTAGAGTAATTGAAATTTGAGAGAGGTGAAAGTCGTTTCGCGGGGCGCTGAATTCGTAGCGTCAGTCCTGCGAAGTTCGCTTAGAGGGGGCAGCGGGGCGGGATAATTTGAATTTCCTAAATTCAAGCCGAGAATTGAACTACTCGAGTGTTTGAATTATTAGAGTGAGTGAACGTTAGTTGAATTTTCGTGCACGTGTTTTAAACTTCGAGTTAACTGTGTATTTGAATATTTAGATTTCCGAGTATTTGAATTTTCGAATTTTCAGTTTCTAAAATGGTAGAATTTATGAAGGTTTCAAATTTGTAATTATCGAATTTTTAGGTTCTCGAGTATTTGGATCTTTGAATTCTTGAATTTTTTAATTTCCGAGCTCTTGAATTTTTTATTTCTCGAATTCTCAAATGTTCGAATTCTGGAATCCTTGAATTTTTGAACTTTCGAATTCTCGTGCCGATGAATTTTCGAACCTTTGAATTTTCGAATCCTCGAATTTTTGAACTTTCGAATTTTCAAATCCTCGAATTTTTGAACTTTCGAATTTTCGAATCTTCGAATTTTTGAACTTTCGAATTCTCGAGTCGATGAATTTTTGAACCTTTGAATTCCCGAATCCTCGAATTTTTGGACTTTCAAATTCTCGAGTTGATGAATTTTCAAACTTTCGAATTTCCAAAATCCTCGAATTTTTGGATTTACGGATTCTCGAATCTTTGAATTTTTGCACTTTCGAATTCCTGAATCCTCGAATTCACGAATTTCCAAATTTTCAAATACCCGAATTGCTAAGAATTTGAATTAAAAAGAGAAAGCAATTTGAAATATCGCTTTAGTATTCAGATTTTTCCAAGGTATTCTCATCAATTCAAAGGATACGAATCTAGCTCGAGGCGGCCCATGTTTCCTAAATAAGGTCTGTTCACGGTTGTGTGCATGCGGGGAGGTACACACCGAGCCGGCGATTTCTCACAAAGCCGCGGGTGTGGATGTGTGAACTCGCAAGGTTAAGCGCGCTTCGAGCCCCGTATCGTCCATCTGAAGAAGAAAAATGGCAAGGAGCGAATCGTTCCCACAGGTTGAGTCAGACGGATGCGACTGCAATTCGTGTCCCTAGTTCTACTCGCTATTACGAAACTAATTTAACCATCTATCTTATCAGAAAGCGATCTCTGGCACGACCAGTCTCACAGATTTTCTCTTATTCGCATTATTCGATAACTCGACTTTCAAAAAATCACTCTCCAGACCGATATTCATAAATATTTCGCCAAAAAAAGGAAAATATGTTCACCACTTTCAACGTTTCTGATCAACTTCCTATCCCAATCTTCAATTCCACCTTGACCGTGCAATAATTCAAAGCTCTATCAAACTGCGACCATTTTGATCCCAGTTCGTTACAAGACGGATCAATTACCTTTGTTTAATCGCATTGTCGATGCAACTGCCATCGTGCAGACGTTTCAGAAAGTTCGAACTCAGTGTCCCGAGTTACGGGCCGTTTTAATAAATCGGATGGCCAGACTATCGGGATCGGCTGACATTGGACATGTCAGAAAACTAGAGTGTAAAAAATAAATGTGTACAAACAAGAGGCGAATGTGTGTCAAATTTCTCCGAGTTTCCAATCGTGGCAGGACCAATTACCAGGTGTGGATATATTTGGCGTGACCGGTTAACCTCGACGTACTTGCACAATATTGCAACCCAAAAGCGTGCAATTCTTTACACGTGCAAGCCAGGTCTGGCTAAAATCGATACCCTATTCGAGTCTGTCTCCCGTTCTCCGTGGATCCACACGCTCTTTCACTCTAGTTTCAGTCATTCCAATTTTGTAACTGTTATTTTTTTTTTTTTTTTAGAACGTCGATTTTTCACCGTCTCTCTGCGTTTATTCAATTTACCTGATGGCCTTTTACAATTTATTTCAGTTAATTTTCTCTGCGGAATTTTCGGTCCGTCGGTTTTCAATAGGGATCATTCTTTTTCTGTTTTATTTTGCCATTCTTGGTGGGGTGGAATTTTAAGCTTTAGGAATTAGGTTTGCACAGGTACCTTAGGGTACTGTTTTTATAATTTCTGGGTCTTTCTTTTTTGAGGGGTGTCATATTTTAATTTTGGTCCTTTGGTGGAGTGGAATTTTAAGTTTTGGGAATTAGGTTTGCACAGGTACCTCAGGCTGACAATTTCACAATTTCTGTTCATTTGTTCCTTGAGAAATTAGGTTCACAAATCAGTTAAGCCACTTTCTCTATCATAAATCTCAACATAAATTCAATTTACTATTTTCGAATTCCTAAATTACTAAAATTCCAAATGAAATCATTTTCTGAATGAAAATCGCGATAACGTTTGATAGTCTATCGAGAACGATCGACCAGCTGCCACAGTTATTACCTTGACAGGGTGTTTATTAATCCAGGGTGAATCTCTGGCTGGTTAACGCGTTAAGTGCCTAGCCTGTTTTGCTTGCCATTCCGTTCAGGCTCAGACTCGGCCGTGAAGTGGGCCACCGGTGCGGGCGAAGTGTCCATAAAATTCGGAGATACTGTACCAATTCTTATAACAGGAATTCTCAAACGTTAGGTCCAAAGATGGCGAAGAATTTAATACTAAAAATTGGCACCCTTTGGTCCTAGTTTGGCCCGGTCAGGGGTCCAGAGGACCTAGGCCGGGCCCGAACGGAAAGTCTAGCACCGGCGTGGCATTTAACGTGTTAACCGTTCGAGTCCCAGAGGCTTTTGGAAGAACACGGTCGAAAAACGCTTGCCTTGATCGAGTGCGAAGAAGTCCAAACGGTGGGATAGCGCTTGTTTAATTTTATGTCGAAAAATCCCAATCGTCGCGATAACGCTTGTTGGTGCCTATGTGACTTACGTGCTTCGGCAAAGTTGAGCACGCCTGTCCGAAGAGAGTGCGATCGCGCTGCTTGGGACTGAAACGGTTGAACACGTCCTTATGAGTTACAATACTTTAACCCTTTACTACTGCTGCGCAATGGCGGCGGCCATGAAACGTTCCCTGGGTACTACCGTCCACGAAACGTCACCGATGACTGTCGCGACCCGAATGAAAACTTTAGTGTCAATCACGCTCGAGATTTCTGTGAATACCGTAAAACACGTTTTCGTGACTTCCAGTGCAACCACTCTTGTGGAAA